CAACCGAACGAGCACAGCTGTGGTCCAGCAACACTTTATTTATGAAAACGGGCAGTTTTCCAGGTCTGGCCCAGGACAGGGAAGGAGAAACAATATGACGGACTGCAGGAGAGGTTTTCATGGACTAGATCCAGAAGGGGTGTACATCCCTCCACCAATTCTGCCATCAGCCAGAACCTGGTCCCAGCTAACCATCAATGGGTTTAAGCTACACTCAGTTTAAAAAGAATTTAAAACCAAAGTTGGTTTGGTGAACCTATTGATCCATTTCCATTTTTCAAACTACTTACAGTTCATTAAAAAATAATTCACAGGACGAGCACTCTGGTGCAGTGGGTTAAGCCACTGCCTAAGACACAGGCACCCCACTGAGTGCAAGTTTGAGTCCTGGCCATTCTAATCCCAACCCTGTGCCTGGGAAAGCAGCGGAAGATGGCCCCAGTGCTTGGGTCCTCACCACCCATACACAAAACCCAGACAGAGTTCCAAGATTCTGGTTTCAGCCTGGCCCAGCCCCACCCACTGCCGCCATTCAGGAAGTGAACCAGCAAACCAAAGATATCTTTCTCTCTTTCTTTCTCTTTCTCTCTCTCTCTTTCCCTCCCTCCCTCCCTCTGCCTTTCAAACATATAAACAAATCTTTAATAATTTGTAAAAAGTATTAAAAATGGTATAACAAGCATACAGGTATATTTGTTTTCAGAGAATGATATTCTGCTGATAAAAACAAAGCAGTGTTTCACAACTTGTGGAATAAAACAAATGAGTTGATAATTTGATAAATGATAAAATCAGTTGATACTGATGATACTAAACTACCTGTGATTTATCACTGAAAAGCAAGAGCAGGGGCTGGCCTGTGGCACAGTGTATAAAGCTGCCGCTTGTTGACGCGACACCCCATATCAGAGTACCAGTTCTCGTCCCAGCAGCTCTGCTTCTGATCCAGCCTCCTGCTAATGCGCCTGGTGAGGCCGTGGAAGATGGCCCAAGTCCCTGGGTCCCTGACACACAACTGGGAGACCAGGATGGACTTCAGCCTGGCCTGCACCTGGCAGTTGGGGCTATTTGAGGAGTGAACCAGCAGATGGAAGATTTCTCTCTCTCTCTCAGTCCCTTTCTCTCTGTCTCCCCCTCTCAAATAAATAAACTTTTTTTTAAAAAAAAGGCAAGAGCAACAGCGATTTTAAAACACAAATAACTCAGTACCTACAATCAGATATAACCATGTGTTTTTCTCAGAACTCACAGGACCTACACTTAGGTGCACATGGCTTAGGAAGCATTTTGCAGCATGTCAAGCAGTGGGCAGCAACCAGACTTCTCAGCAGAAAGCAGAACAGGCATCAGCGGCACACACCAACGCTCTGTACTCACCAGACCTTGTCCAGCTTCTTCTGGGTGCACAGCTAAGCCCTGATTCTTCACTGGTTGCAGTGAAGACAGGACACAACTGAGCTCTGGCTGATGGGACATACGTGGAAGTGACCCACACCACTGCCAGGCCTGGCACATAAAAACGTCCTACCTCCTACCTTCGGTCCTTCCCTCATCCTCTGCCGCGCTGACCCCGGAGGCCACATGTTAAATGACGGCATCACAAGAGGAAGCCTGGTTCCTGAGACGCTGTGTGGAGTCAAATGGCTGCATGCAGCAAAGCACCCACTTTTCCTACCCCTGTCTCAGCGACCAGCTCATGACAAGTGAACAATACATTTCTACTGTGATAAGCCGCTAGGATCTCAGGTCGCTGCAGTTTATAACCTATCCCAATACGGAGTTCTTAAAAGATGCCAGAAATGTGCATAGGTTCTAAGCATTAAATCTTAGCAACCCTTGAAAACTTGCTTAGATTTTCAACAATATTTAGAGGTACTCAGACAAAAATGCACACATTTGCATTGATGCATCTGTTTCTAGTCTTTCAGAAAGATCTTCAGAAAGATCTGGGCTGGGAACAGGAGAGTAACAGGATGAAAGTAGCATTTCAAGAAACTTCTCTGCAATTCTGTGTTCATTTATTCAAAATGTCTAACACCTAGTGCCGACCCAGCAACATGCTGAAGACTAAGGGCGGAAAGATGCACGCAGTGCAGGTCCTGCCTTCCAGGGGGTCGTGGTGACTGAAGAGGAAAGTGACTGAGCCGCTGCTGATCAGTGAGATGTGACAGGTGATGGACTACGCAGGAAAACGCACTGCAGCTTGTGATGCTGATGTCTGTCTCGGCGCATGGCTCTCACGCCGGGGACAGAGGAGCAGAAAAGACTTCAGCAAGTCACTGACTCTAGGGAGAGACGTTTCAAATAGCCTTGCTCTTCGCTGAAGTCAAAAAACACAAAACCTAAGTAATCTCCTCTACCAGTTTTATGCAGAACTCTGGGAACTTTTCTAAGAACAGATGCAAAATGCAGTATTTTTTGTGATATCCAAAGTGATTTCTTCAGGTGGATTTTACTTATACTAATACATAAAAACAGTACATACATAATAATACATAATATAATAATATATATTATTATATAATATATATTATATGTATAATAATATAATATATAAATAATACATAAAAACCAAAAAAAAAAAAAGTGTTCCGTTGCATACTTAAAATGCTGAGGCCTAAAGAAAACCTCCCAGATTTAATCCTACTCATCCCCCACTCAGAGGAGAATAGCACAGCTCCACACACCTGCAACCAAAGGTGAGCCACGGGCTCATTAAGAACAAAATCCAGTTGCACGGCTGTTCCACATTCTCACAAATGCTAGTCACAAGAGTCCAGGAACCCCGTACATGGGTTTAACACTACTGGAAAAGTAACTCACAGCACGTGCCCTAGGGATGTGAGTCGGTAGCTTCAAAAGTATATTTGGTTTGGGTACTAACCTGAGAAATGTAAAATGTCCCACACAACAGAGGGGTAATATTTGGAAAATAAATGGGAATACACTGTTCTATAAAGACAACACTTCCGTGACAATACTCTCCCAAATTCCACTTGAGATCAAGCTGCTTGCCAAATATTCAACCTATACTCCAAGGTCTATTTGTATTCAATCCTTCCTTGTACTATTAATTAGAGCTACGGCTTGACTGCAAACGTTTTAGATTGTCCACAAAGATAGCTTGACACAAAAAGGGTAATGTTCCAGAAATCTACAAATGCTCTGTTCTCATTTTTGGCATCTTATACAGATAGAGGCAAGTCTTGAAACAAAACAAAACAAAAAAACCACTATTTTTTACATCACTGTAATTATGCTTTTACATGTATCAGGACACAGCTCTAATTTTGATGGGGACAGCATTAACACTGAAGTAACTCAATAAAAGCCTGTATCTGTGATCTGGGGAAACACCACACTTGCCTTCACAACCCACGGCAATCCACAATCCATGCAAACAGCCCCAGGACAGGGCGATGAAAGACTGGAGGATACTCACTTGACCGCACGCTGCCTAAATGTGAAAACGTTTTCCAACCACTTCCCATTTGAACGCTGAAATTTTCTAAATTACCCAGTCTCAAACTATCTCAGACAACTGTGTTCAGCAATCTACTACCAAAAAGCAAATACATTTATATTTACCCCTATAATTTAAGATTTAATTCATTATGTGAAGCACACTACGTAAAATACCAAAATATTGTAGAATAGCATATCAAAAATATAATCTTTTCAATAAAATATTGACACCACATGCTAAAAATGCATTTTTTAGAGTATATATAGCCTATAAACAAAACTGAATGATACTTTTTAAAACCATAGGAAATACCAATTTACTGAAAAAAAGTAATGCACACTTCCTTTGAAAATTTTAAACGTGTGTTTTCTTAAGACATCATAATAGATACACAAGAGAGAGGTGGAAGGCATAGCCTAAAAGGGTGACTGTTAATTGTGTATTTTCTGCTTATAATGGAACAAAACAGATCACTATTTTTGAATGAAATAAAATATGACAATACACAGCTGCCATTCATGGTTTCCCTGTTGGGGCTTGCCTTCACATTACATACCTTACGTATCATTTATCATTAGCAAATCCTACAAGTAGGTATAATTTTCTTTGTCTCAAAGATGGAAACAGTAAGTCTGATGAAGTCATATTACCACTAAGCCAGGATTCCCACTGAGGTCTGTATGGTAATTATTGCCTTGGAAAAACCTGTTAGATGGCAAACATCCTACCATGATCTTCCATGATAACCACTGAAAACGTCAATAAATCTATCTACTTTTTGCTTGATGTTTCCTTAGTTAGCTATTCCATTGTTCACATTAGTAAAATCTGTAATTCTATCTAAATTCATGTAGTTCCAACCTCTACTAAGCAATGAGAAAAGTACCAGTATACACACAACTGAAAACCTAACCTTCCTCAAGCTGGTGATTCTTTCTGTGAATATAAATCATCACACAGAGCTCTCTGGTCTATTTATAGTATCTACAAAGGCAATGAATTTCAACAAATATTAACAATGAAAATTTTCTTCTAAATGGTCATTTAATGACAGTTTAGATCCATTATGAAAACCATTAATAGTTAAGCAGTATTTTGTAAGAATAGCCCATAGACTGCTATTGATCCACTAATTCTCTCCAGATAGCCCAGACTTAATCCCTAGAAAATATCAAGAAACACATCATCTAAACTTCTGGCTTGAATTAACACCCACTGCTGATTTACTCTCACCATGTCTCATCAAAAGTCACGCCATTTTCTTCATAAATTTCAGTGAATTTCTGGCTCACATAAATGGAAGTAGACTAGAGAATAAGAATCTTTCATCTTTCTAAGACCAAAAATAAATAAATAAGTTCAATCCCAAAGATACATGCAATGTTTCCTGGCTCTGCAATTCATTACAAAAATAAGACTTTTTGTCAAGTAAAATAAGAATAATTTAAGATAGCCATATATTTAAAAGGAGTATTTGGTACTTCCAAGTACAAGATTTCCCCAAACACTACAACGTCCTCCATATTAAGCTTACCTTGAAGATGGCATTATACTTGAGGCCCTGAATTTTGTTGTAAACGGATTAGTTGACTCATAATCAAAATAGTCCTGCCGGTTTTCACTAAACGCATTGGGTGATTTCAAATCACAAGGGCTATCTGATCCCCCATTGTTAAGTTTATCAGATCTTCTGCTATCTTTTTTTCCAGTCACTCTTTCAAACAGGCTAACTTTCTCCCTTTTCTCTCTTTTATTTTCTTTCCTTACTTCAATTGATTTTGAAAATAAATTCATGCTGCTGTCCCAGGATTCACTGCTTTCTTCAAACGGATTTTTCTTCCTTGGCAGTGTTGCAAATTTTTGGGGTAATGAAGCAGTCACATTTGTAAATGGGTCATTCTGTCTTTCGAAAGACGATTCGCCTTCATCCACAATGCTGTCAGGTTGGTTCATTTTAGAAGTATCAAAGCTTAATGTTCTTCTGTGTGGAGATTTGAGACTTCCTACAAACAAGTTTGTGGTTACTACACAATCAGTGACACATTACATCACACTATTTGACACTCTGTGTGCATTCTGTTGGTTTTAAAATGAGAGTAATTAGCTATTTAAAGGTATTAACCTTTAAAATAATCAAGGAAAACAACCTTAAAATGCTAAGGTATAGCAGCCTGAAGTATCTGGGCCAATAATGATTAGCGTACTGCTAGACAAGTGCCAACGTACTGGGCTCACACAGGCAAACTGACTCAAAACCAGAGGTTCTGCTCAGTGTGATAATGCCAGAAATCCTCAGACTTCCTTTCATCATTAGCATTAAATTTACATCCTCGCTTCTGAACATGAATGTTTTCTTCTAGGGATTTTACGGTAAAATGGAACATTTATTTATGCATCAGGCTTTCAAGAGAGCAGAAGCAGCAGGAACAATGTTTAAAAAGCTAGGCCATGAAAGGAGCCTGGGACGCATTTTATTATCAGTTAATCATCTAAACACAGAGCAGACAAACTCCACTTTCCATGAACTTGACCAACCTGGGGTACAGGAGGTATTCAAAGTTTGATGAACGACTACACTTGGAAAAGGCTACCAAGAAACTGCAGTTTTTTAAATTTTCCAACTTCAAAAGTTAAACTTTCAAAACAAAAAGGGCACTTTGGCCCACTGAGGAGACAATGAGAGAGAACGTGCCACTCACCACTCTCTGGAACCGCTCCGAAGGCATCTATCCGGCGCCCCAGAAGATGTGTCTGACTCAGGGTGCCAGGCTTCGCTTTCTCAGAGGACGTGTGGGACCCAGTCAGGTCAGACATTGAATGCGCAGAAGAGAGTCGCTGAGGACCCAGAAGAAAAGGCTTTTTTGGTTTGGATTTCATGTGGCTCTCACCACTTGAAAATTCTGTACTGGCATCAGGCATGTGAGTACTTGGAATGATTGCAGAAGACGTATCAGAAAACGTGCCATCATTTTTTCTACCTTTCATCTTATCCTTTAATTTTGCAAAAGGAGATCTTGTTTTGTCCTTCATTGACAAGTCAAACATACTCGCTGTCATATTGTTTCTCATAAATTGAATATTCACCTTTATCTCACCCCTGTTTTTGGCTCTTTTTCCTTGTTTGGATTCCAACCTAAACCACCTTAAGGACAAAAAGTAAATAAATAAAAAATGAGTTGTAACACAGAACGAAGAGAGGATACAGAGTTCTGTTACATACAAACTGTTTTTTAGGCAAAGCCACTACAGGACATCAAGCCAACCTAAACACTGAATGATACTCTAGTAGACAGAATACTTCTGGTTTTACTCACAAATTTTTAAAAACACATCATTCTGCATATGATGTGACATAAGAAGATAATTTTTAAAGTTTGTAGAAAATTGAATTAAAAGATTAATTTATTCTGGTGCAAAAAACAACTGAAATCCATGCAGTTTTTCACCATATGCGTTTCTCATACTTTTCAAAGACCCCTCATATGCGTAGACTTCAATTTTTTTTTTTTTTTTACCAAAATAAACTCATCTTTTAATTTCATTTTACCAGACATTTTTGGAAGTAGCTACTGAAGGAGTAGGCCTTTGGGGCACTGGAAAAGGTTTGTAGGTAACCTTTTCTTTCACAATTTGAAAATCACCAACAGAAATTCTTATCAACAATACCTAATGCTTCCACATAGGGTATTAATAATGGCCTAAGGGTATTTCTTAACATTAAAACACACTGAGGAAGGGACACTGAAAGAATGCATCAATACGAGTGAGTTCTGAACACTATAATAATGCCATTTTAATAACATATTAAATAGCCCCATCCCAAAATATTACTTATGTAAGAACATTAAAAGAATTCTGTTAACATTGGAGACTACTACCTATAGTTTGGTAATTATTAAAACTGGATATAATTTAGACTCATATCAAATGGATCAAAGTCTCTTCCTGAATAAAATAAATGAGTAAAACACAGTAAGTGACAGTAAACCTTGTGAAGAGTTTTTGAAGAACAAAAAGCTGAATGCTTCCTGTTAGAGTCACTTGCGTCATTTACTGCCACTGCTGTGACAATACCAAATCACAATTATTTTATAAACAGAGCCAAATATTTTGCTTTTAGTCACTTCAAAACTGCCTATTTAAAAATGATGTATAAAAAGCAAAGTTTTACTTGGTTTTGTTTATGGTATCTTTATCCAAGAGAAACTCTCCAGTTGTTGGTGTCACAAGAGATCAATTTATAGGGCAAAAAGCCAAAAACTGCCAAACCAAGTCTAGAGGAGCACTTCTACAAAGGAACTCGGATGTAACCTTACATTAATTCTTCCCTCACTGTCACAAACAGGGTATGCCAGGAGAAGATTATGTTTACTGTACATCAAGTGGGAGACTGAGTCACCAGGTCTTTCCAGAAGGAAAAAGAATCCACATATATTATATGTGTGCATGTGTATGTATAAGATATGACAGGTTTATACACACACAAACACACACACATATATATAAACCAGCCAGAGCTTAGCAAATCACACACATGAAATCATTTCTTAACTAAAGTGGAGCAATTCAATTAAGTAATGCAGTTTACCAAGTGACTGTTTAAATATTTTATAATAGAAAACATTAACTAAATGAGACCCTAAACGGAGACAATCCATTATGTGAGGCAAACATTAAAATTTGAAGAAATGAGCTGGACATAAAGAAATGATACCAATAAATTTTGTGGAATAGAGAAACTTAACTACCGCAAGACAGAGCACTTCAAAAGCCTGGAGAGAAACAAGGTTATCCTCCTGCTTTAACTCAATTTGGAAAACAGTCATTTTTGATGGACTGGGGAGAGGGGAGTGGAGTGGGGAGACTTCTGAGGCACAGTACCTCAGAGTGCTATGTCAGCATCTCAGGCTATACCAAAAATAGTGAACACACTTCGCAAGACAGGGACCAAGAAAGAAAGAAAGAAACCAGGCATTCAGGACTCCATGCATCCAACAAATCAAAGCAAGTCTGAGAAGAAAATAAAGTAGTAATCCAAAAAATGGATGCAGTCAAAATTCATAGCATTAGAGAAACAGAAACCAAGTAAGTCAGCGATTTCAACATTCTTATTTTGCAGACGAGGAAACTGAGGCACAGGGAACGCTACATCACTTCCCACTGCCAGATGGAAGCCGCTGAGGAAAACCTCCAGCTGGTGAAGAACAGCTGCGGGACAGTGGAAGCTCCTTCTCCTTTGACGACTCACACGTGTTCCCAAGGTTAACATCACAGGACACGGTGCTTCATCAGGCGACACAGCAGCCATGATGAGGCAAGGCGGGTTTCCTGGTGCTAGAGTGTAAGCTCCTTGAAGGTATGTGCCCTGTCCTAGATGTTCACCCGATTTTTATTCCCAGAACCATATGAACAACCACGCTACAAGCGAGTGCGTGCTTTGCAGCGCTTTGTCTTTTAGTAGGAAGCTCTACAGACCCGGGTAAGCTCTGAAGAAGGGGCGAGTCAGTGTTGGAATACGGTGTCATCTCCTCCCCCGTGGAAAACGGTAATAAATATATTAATTTCAAATGTAGGCATGGAAAATAACTTGAGCCGTTTTGTTTTGAAGCTGACATAACAGAGAGGTCTTAATGAGACGTTCAAGAATCATTCCAGAGGCAGCATTTGTTTTTCCAGGCTTCAAAAAGATAAGATGAAGAACGATAGCTTTGGGGGCTTACTGGATTAATACTGATTTTTTTTTTCACCTCTGGAGTGCTGGATTTAAACTGTATATGGCCTCTGTTCAATTTTTAATGGGCACAGGTCCATGTTCAAAAACCACCACACATGTGGGAACTATTCACAAGCAATTGGTGCTGTGTGGTCAGAAATGGGACAAGATTGGCAGTAAGGGTGCCAGAGGCCAGGATGCAGGTGCACTACAGAGACCCACACAAAAGTCCTAAAATCTGCATATGTCTGAGTCATACCTAACTCTAGGGACTCTGATTGTTATTACTTTTCATGGGCATTAAAGAAAAAAAATCTCCTAGTTCTGTTGTAAAAAAATCAATGCATATTACATAACAGCATCAACGATTTTACCATTCTATTATTAAACACTGTATTATATCCTTAAATCTCGTGCCAGAACCAACCCAGACATCCATTAAAGGGGGCGATACAGAAGTTCTCTCTCCATGCCCCACTCAAAGGGTTCTGGCTCAGGCTCTTTACCCCTTCTCCTTACAAAGAAAAAAAGGGGGGGGGGCATTAATTTTCAAGGTAAGTAAAAGAATGGTTTGAGCCATCCTACTTCTTATTACGGCACAACTGGAAGACAAGCTGTACGTGACTGTCTTCAGTGTAAAAAGTAAGAAGTGCCACACCCAGCACCTTCGCGGGACTTGTGAATCAGCTGGTAGCTCACCACTCCACCAGTTTTCTAAAAAGCGCTTGGGAGAATGCCGCCAAGGTTCAGCAACGTGCGGGCTAGTAAAATCCTTCTTGCAATATACTGGTGGCTCAAGTCCCTCTCTTACTGTGCCACATGTACAGCTGCGCTGGAAAAGGAAGCTATTAACTATATTAAAAAACTAGAAATATTACCAATAAAGATACTTCATCAAATACGTGGTCCCCCATTTATCCACAAAGAAAGAAAATGGTAAGGGTTTAAAAACACATGAAAATCATTTGGAATGCAGTAACATCACATGCCCTGTTGATAATATTTAAAAGTATCCCCCTTCAAGTTCTAATCAACCGTATTCGGCAGCCAGTGTAGAATTTCTGGAGGGAGACACTACAATGTAAGAGCACTGCCCATGGCCAAATCCATCCTTAACCGCGACGCTGCCAAAGACAAGGGACAAAACAAGAAGAAACTCGCAAAAGGTGGTTTCCCCCTCAGACCCCTCGAGTTTGCACCTGGGACTACTTCCACTCAGAAAATTTACGTTTCCGAGAGAGCCCATGATCCATTATTCATTAGTATTAAAAATTCTGTAGATGCGTGAAGAAATAAAAGTTGCACTGTGCCCAAAAGTTCAGAGTCAAAACACTTTAAATACCATACACTGTCACCTGCAGTTGGCAATCTGAAACAAATGATTTGGTGATTATTTATTTTTCATTTTAAACTCGGCAGAGAACCTCTCAGAGGAAGCTAAATGCCACTTTTCAAATATCACATAGTTTTGTGACTTATCACTGATAAAGATTCAACTTTACACTTTAAAACTTTTTCTCTCCTTTTAAAATACTCTCATTTCCTCAAGGAATTTAAATACTTACCACTTTCCCCCTTGCATTTCTAGAATTTCTTCTCTCTCTCCCTTTTTTCCATACATACATTAAACCTTAGGTAAAGATGTGATTCAAAGCAAAACAAAACTCCCAGGGAAGCCTACAAGCACATCATGTTTAGAACAAAACCAGAGAGTTGCTTTCGAATATAAGGAATTAACACCAACGGCAAGAAATCATTGAAAAGTTTGTAAAAGGGTAAAATAAATTTGTTGTGATGAAATACCGAAGCTATTTTGGAAATCTGAAGTTCTCTTTGTGAATTCAACCCATCTTTCCCTCAGCAATTCTATTAATTCTAACCTCACCTCAGATTAGAAAAATCCGAATTTTAAGGTAGGGTAAGTAATCCTCTCTCTGACAACACACTATTCTTTCAAAGTAAGACATAATACCCTGTGTTCATACTTAATTTTGGAAAATAAAATACATCGAACTCGAGCTTAAAAGCCACGTTCTCATTGAAGGTGTCAGGAAATGAGTTCCTCCCCAGGATTTCAGACTCCACTCCAGTCAACGCAGCTCTGCAGACTTCTGCAGCGACACAGGAACTCCAACACCACAAACGCAAAGGCAACAGGCGCGCTCCAGGCTGAGGACGTCTGGACGCACTTTCTAAACTTGCCCAGGGCAGCTCTGGAGCCCAGCAAGATGTGCGCGACCAGGAGAAACGGCGGGGGTGCAGAAGGGCCAGCGGGGCCCCCAGTGCCGAATGCAACCCCGAGTCCTGACCGCCGGGGCACCGGCTTCAGCCCGCAGGTGGACAGAGGGAACTTCCTGACAGTGGTTTCGGGACCAACAATGAATACCTACACTGCGTTCTAGCTGGTCAACACTGGCACCCGGGCCTCTGGAGTGAATAATGTTCACCTCCTGAAAACCCAGGGCAAAACACTCAATTATTTAACAGAAATTTGCCTCAAACGCAAAGCCGGGCGATGACTCCTCAATGACTCCGCTGGAAAGAAAAAAAAAAAAAAAAAGCTCTGTCCCAGGGGCTATTTTTGCTTCAGATTCCACGCAAAGACGGTGCTTCAAACTGGGTCACGCTGCAGCCGGCGCACCCCCAGCGCCCCAGGAATCCAAATCACCTCCCGGAACCGCAAATCCAGGCACCGCTCGGCTCCCCCAAACGCAAAACCAAAGGGCGCGACTTACTCTGTTTTCCTTCTTTGTTTGTCCTCAAAGATGTCATTGAGGTTGATGGCCACCTGCCCTAGAAACTTGTCCAGCCCCACCAGGGACCTGTGCATCACTATCAGGAAAAGGATGTACTTCTCCGGGCTCCCCTGCACCAGCAGCCCAGGGAGCTCGAAGGAGGCCTCCTCCTTCCAGACGGGCTCCAGGGTTTTCTCGGCCACCGAGGTGGAGTACTTCTCCTTGCCCAGCTGGATGATAGTGTACGTGTCATTGGTGCCACTTTTGCCTTTCGGCTTCAGCTCTCTGGCTTGCAGCACTGTGACCTGCACGTGGGTTGGAAACCACTTTTGGGCTTGCTCGGACAGCATGGCTCTGCCCTGCGCGCACCGAGGGCGCGGGCGCCGGCCGGGGGAGAGCCTGGCTCCTCATTCACTGCAGCCGCAGGGCGCTTCCCCGCGCGGGCAGCCCCGCCGCGCCGGCCCCGGGGCGGCCCTCGGCGGCCGGGCCTGCGCGCGCGGGAGGCCTGGCCCCCGGGGCGCGGGCGCAGCGAGCCCCCGGCCCCGTTCCGCGCCCCCGGCCTCCCGCCTGCCGCCTTGCGGCCGGGCCGCCTCCGCCGGTCGGCGCCTCCCGCCCACCCCGCGCTGGCCCGCGGGCCCGGCGCGACTCCTCCTCCCGACCCCGGTAATACGAACCGCCGGCGGCTCGCGCGGCCTCGCTCCCTCTCGCAAACCTCACCCTCCTCCTCCTCCTCCTCCCCCTGGCCTCGGCTCCTCCTCTAGGGCGGAGACAGGTCCGCCGGTGGGTGGATTGGGCCGGGGG